TGTAAAGCTAGATTTAAAGAAGACCTTTTATTATGCTAATATTAAAAACACACTCTAAACAATATCCGAAATCCACAACCGAATTGTATACCAGAGTTATTATTGTGCCTGCATCCTTTTACATATGTTATGCTTTTTTTTCTGTGTACGCTGCATTATGAGGCTACCATATTGCAATTTTCAGACAGCAGGAAGGGAACTTAATTCTTAGATTATAATGCATTCCCAGCCTCTGAGGACACACAGAAACCGGTGTGACAGATGTGACAAAGATCAATGACATCACATGACCAGCAGACCGGGATCTCAGCTGGAAATAGTGCATCTTAAAGCAATTGTCGCCAGAATAAAATCAGTAAAAAAAAATACCACCACACTGGAAAAGGCACTTAATACTTAGAGAGATACCAAATAGTGGTGGTGTTCTTCAAATAAAACTCTTACCTTGAAAAGTAAAAAATAATTTGGATGTAGGGCTTATAGAAAATGGCGTCTACATTGGATCTCCGACCTGGCAGTTCACACCGCCAACCCTCCTGCCCAACCTTTGCTGCTGACCGAGAGGGCTGCATCTGGAGTATGAGATGACAGCAACTTGTGGAGGCACCACTCACCTTTATGTCTACAACCACCCCTGCGCCAGCCCCCCCATTCTGTCATGCCTGAACCTCTCTGCCACCACGGCTTTGTGCAAATACCCTCTCCTAATCTCTCACCACCACAGCTGACCCTCCATCCTCCTCCCCGCTGCTCCGCAAGTGTACGCCAACCCTCACCACTGTGTCTCTGACAACCATCTAACCCCCCTGGTCCCACCAATGCAGAGGCACATATCTCAGCGCTCGCCAGGCACTAGGAACGGGCACACTTTTGTTGCTTACCTGTAAAAGCCTCTGTGGAGACATCCAAAAGCCAAGAAACGGCTGCTGGGTGCTGCCATCTTCGACATGATCTTGGCAACCACAGCAGATATAAAGTTGTTACTCAAGTGACACTCTAAAGCAGAGGTGGCAACATTGACACTCCAGCTTTGGTGCAACTACAAATCTCATGAGGTATTGCAACACTTGACAGTCACAATCAAGACTCACAGAGGGAGATGAATGATGGTATTTGCAGTTTCCCCACAGCTGGAGTCCCATGGTAGTCTAACCCCTGGGCCATAGCATTTACCTCCTTTCCCAGCACATAAAGAAAAATTGGCTCTCCTTGAGAAATTGTCTGGCAAGTTTAAAGCAACATTGCAAGTGCATAAAAAATTATTTATGGAAACCATTTAAAATATTTGATATGACTTGATCTACAATTTTTTTTAAAGTTGGTGACAGAGTCTCTCTAACAGTCTGGTGGGCTTAACTTTGCTGTCTTGAAGAGCTATGGCCACCAGGGAATCTTCAGCATCTGACCAACCTCCGGGCGTGATAGATGCCTGTAACCCATCTGTGTGCTCTGGTTACATCTGCTACATCACTACTGTGTCCCGCAGCAACAAAGTGGCCAGTGGACGACACAGCGGGAAGTCTGTTGGATGCTGAAAATTGTTTGGCGACCGTAGCTCCGTAAAATAGGACAGGAGTCGTTGCCTGCTGGACTGGCAAGCGTCATTGAGCTCCTTTTGCATGGTGGTATTTTTTTTTTTTTACCTTTTTAGTTTAAGCAACAGGGTTGCTTCAAAGCAAAACTTTAGACATACACTAGACTCCCAATGCAATCCAGTTACATATTTATCAGCCAAATTCCTAAGTGTATTCAAATAGTAGCTTAAAATGATTCTATATTAGCCTTCTGTAAAGCTCTGCACAGCAGGACTCCAAACTGAGAGAAGAAGGAGCACTTTAAGCTACTCAGCAGGCCAATCTAACTCTACTGCATTGCACTGTGCTTGAACTCTAAAGCCTGGACACCTGATAAAGGAGCGTGTGAAGACCTCAAGAGAGTCACATGTTCCTTTACTGTCCAATCACAGGCTGAGACAAGTTACTGACCGTACTCTATAACTCAAATCCACTGGAGAAGAGTGTGGTCCGTGGTCTATGTTGTCTTGCATGGGCCCTTACTGGCATGTAAGACAGAGAACATAAATGTTTCTTAACTGTGAATTTCGCTGTATGTCTACAGTTTCGCTTGAACTGTTAGTTCAATGAGTCAGAGCAAGCAACGCAGAATATTGTGTTAGAATGTTACGTTTTTATGCAAAGCTCACTTTAGGCAATATTCAGCGCTCAGCATGCAGCGGAATAAATCACAAGGAATAAAAACACAACATTGATACAGGGCCATTACAAAGCGCAAGTAGAAAGCAGCAACAAAAGCGGCATACTGGCAGGGAATTAATGTCAGCTGTCAGACCTGCGGGCTCAGAGCTGTGAGTGTCAACACGGCAAAGGCTTTTTAACAATGAAAAACAGCAACATGCAAATGTAAAGCAACACAGGGCAACAAATCAAAAATCTTGTTTTCTTACTCAGGAAACCTGATTGGTAGCTGCACGTTCCTCATCATCATAACACTTTGATGCGTCTACTTAAATGAGGATGTATTTTTATGATTAACCCAAAAAGAAACCTATACTGAGAGAGAATGCCTCTGCTAATTTCTCCATCATGTTCCTTGCCTATCTATGATGCTAATACTTTGGCTTTAAAGAGGACCTGTACCATGGACGTTATGTCCAATATAGGAAAGCATAGGCAAAAGGCTTTCCTATAGACTTTCTGCAGCTGATGTTTTTACGAATACTGACTTACCATGCATTGTTCTACACTTCGTCTGTGTGTGAAGGTGGTTGGAAGAGAAACAGGGCTCATGTCAGAGCAGCCCCCAGATGACTAGTGATCTGTAGATTGGTGTGGTAATGATCAAGAAACCGCAGGAGAGGTTACGAAAGCACAGACCCTCAGAATGAAAGCAGAAGCAGGGAGATCCTTGCACTGCAGGTTCTCAGGTACAGCTTCCTATCCGGCAAGGAGAACAGTGAGCAGCACAGTACTGACCTCCCCAAATCTGACTTCAAATTTGGTGAGACTAGAACTGAGAGGCAGCAGTACCTTATATCTCACACTGCAGATATACAGCTATGAGACTACAGAACAGGAGTGCCCTGCTATTTTTCAGAAGGAATTTCAGGACCAAAAAGGTAGACTTTTCAGGGTACTGCACAGGCAGCACAAAGATTTCTAGATGATCCCTATAAAAGCCAGTCTTCCGATTTTCAGGTCCACCTTAATTCAGTCCATGACCTGGAAAAAGCACCAGCAATTATAACCTTACTAGCATGCATGCATGTTCCAGTGACTAAAACGCCAGAATATTAGCATGATAGCCAGGCAAATAATGTTTCTTTTTCCAGGAAATGTATTTTGGTTATTCTATTACTCTAACCCAATACCAAAAGACTGTTAAAGTGTATCTATGGCCAAAACTTTCTTATTTTTTACGTTTTGGATTAAGTGGTGAGAGGTTTGAACCCCGCCAGGGGTTTACTAGAGAGATATGGCTCTGCTCTGGATAATCACTGACTGGGTATACCGCCACCTGTAGGAGTTGTGACACTATGTGCACTAAAAAACAAAAAGGCATCCCAGGGCGAAGCCCTTGCTGGTGGCCAAGACCCCTTTCACTCAGTTACATGGCATAGCACTGCAAACAACAAGAACAAAAGTATTTACACAGCCCACCCCTCTGGCTTGCTGCTGCCTGTACATATAAATGCCTTTGCCCTTGTTGGTTTGCACTGGTACGCCATGCAACTGAGTTGTCCAAACTTTTGGCCACCAGCAGAGGCTCCCCTGGGCCGTCTTTTTATTAAGCACACAGAGTCTTACTCCTGTAGGTGGCAATATACCCAGTCATTGATTATCTAAATCAGAGCTGTGCCCTCCAATGAAAAAAAGAAAAAAAAGGTTTTGACTTTAAATATACTTTAAGAAAGTTTTATGTTGACATTTGATGATATGTTTTTATTAAAATTACATTATCAGTACAGATTTTTCTCCATGTAAAAAAAACCCACCAAAGCTGGCCTGTATTCTTCAGCAGATGAAACACCTAATACACCTCCCTTGCCAAAAACATTCACTGATTTCATTGGAAAGGGCATTGTTTTCAAGCCAATGCCTGTTTTGCACTGAGAGTCTCTTTGGCCTTGGACCCCAATCAGATAATCAGTAGGGCTGTAGGCTAGAATCTCAGTACAATGAATTTCCAAGATTGTTTTTTATCTTTTGCTTAAAGTGGACAGCCTCGAAGTGCAGCCGCTGCCATAAAGGCTGCAATGTGTTCTTGGTTTGCATGAAGATACAGGACTAGTAAATTACTAAAGGTACCCAAAAGGCATGAGAAATGGTAGATTGCCTGTTATTGAATGAAATATCGATGGGACACGTTAGAAAACAACATCCAATAACTACCGATTCCTCCATAATAAACTGGCACTGGCAGGCGTCTTTGAGCTTGTGCCAAGCTGACCATTGCCAACCCTCCGCACATAAAAATGAAACACAAAAGCCCAGCTAAGCTGAATGGCCGTGTTTCAGGACTTTGCTGAAAGAGTCAGACTCTACCCTCTAGTGTCTAAGAGCACTTTTAGAGTCCGCTCACACTGCTGCCTTTTAAAAATAACAATATGTGTGCTGTACATCAGTGTAAACGGACCCAACGTTTGGCAGTGGCGACTAGTATGGTAAGTTCAGGGGTCTATAAGTTGGTGCTGAGGCACACATTGCCTAATGGAGCAGGTATTACACCACATTGTGCAATCTGTTCTCTCTCTCTTTTGTGATTTTATGTTTCTAGGTGTGACGTGTGTGATTGCACTTATAACCTTACTGGACACCTCAAAGTTGTTTAAAATGCTTAAAACATGACTTATCATGACTATACAGTATATGTGATGTCAACATGAGGTGAGGAGTACGTTAGTTTAATGTACATGGAACGCCACACACATGAAAACAAAAAACAATGCGTAAAAAAACAGAAATATAAAAAGCGCCATTTACCAACTGTCGGTGTGGTGGCGGCACTCAGAGACGTGGCGGAGGAAATAGACGACGTGCTCTCAGCTCGGGCTAGAGGGGCGGTGGGAGGTGGACTGGAGGAGTGGACAGGGGGACTGAATGGCCGTGACTAAGGGGGGGAAAAAAAGAAAAAAGATAGATGGTTAGAACCCAGACTGGTTATTATCAATTCCGCATTCCTCATGCAAAAGTGATTATTTCCCTTAATTCCAAGTCTGAATAAGAGATCTGACTTCAAAGAAGAAAGTAGACACTTCTCCCACGGCCTGGGTGCTGAATGCCGTTCTAATGCAGGGAAATCATCCCCTGAAGTATCTGGAAACCAACAGTACCGGGAGTGCTGCACTGAGTGGTTCCTCCTGCCAACCTCTACCACACTACATGACACAGTGGTGACGTAGGGGTCGGCAGGAGTGCAGCAGGGGTTCGACACTCCTGGAAGTGTCGGTCTCTGTAGATATGTCAGCGATGTAGGAAGTGGGAAAGGGCAAAGTGACGGCCTGTGTAAACCCTGGACCACTTTATACTCGCCTCTCCTGTGCTCCTTCCTCTGTCACAAGTGACACCAAAAAAAAAATTCAAATTCAAAATATTAACAATGACTTACAAAGCCATCCACAACTCTGCCCCCGGCTATATCTCAAACCTGGTCTCAAAGTATCATCTTAACTGTCCCCTTCGCTCTTCAAAAGACCTTCTGCTTTCCAGCTCTCTCGTCAACTCCTCCCATGCTCACCTCCAGGACTTCACTAGAGTCTCTCCCATCCTCTGGAACTCTTTTCCCCAACCTGTCTGTCTATCTCCCACTCTGACTGCCTTTAGGTTATCCCTTAAGACTCATCTCTTCAGGGAAGCCTATCCCACCTCAACCTAACCACTCAACCATCACATTCTCAGACAATTCATCCCCACACAGCTACCTCCTCATGTATCACTTCTCCCTCCTTTGTAGATTGTAAGCCCTCAGGGGCAGGGCCCTCCTTACCATCTTGTCTTGAATTGTAATTGTAATGTCTTCCTTATATTGTAAAGCGCTGCACAAACTGTTGCCGCTATATACATCCTGTATAATAATAATGATAATAATAATAGAGAAGCAAATGTAAATTGGTCACAAAGGACTAAACATAGACACTCTCGCTTTACCCTGAATGGAGACAGTGTCCCTTTAACCTAAATTAAGATAAAGTAAAATACAAGCACCTGCATCTCATCAGGAAACTATATAGATACAGCTCAGCATGCTGCTAATGTGCTAATGAAGGAATGACATCAGCACACTAATGAAAGTGACAATCAAGTCAAGACTGATCTGCATACAAGGTTAAGAAGAACACACACTACTGAATTTTGAACAGCAAAAAAAGTCGGCCCCAGATACCACTAGTGAGAAATGTAAACGCACCACATCTGTAACTGAAGGTTTTCCAGGAGGAAGTTTAGGCCGAGATGGTGGGCGAGGAGGAGGTGGTGGAGGGGTTGTACTGCAGGCGGAGAGAGGAGTCGCAGGGCGAGCAGGAGACGATGTGCCTGAAAAGAAGGAAAATGAAAAAAAGGAATGAAAAGCCCGAAAAACATGTAAACTGGTCAATCTGAACCAGACAATATGTTGCAGATTAACGAATTCCTCGACTTTGATCATACCAGGCAAAGTAACAGACTCGCTTTACAGCCGGCACAATTCAGTACCCCTCTCCAACCATTCCGCTGCCAGACCCCAACGCGCAGGACTTCTGGGTATGGAAGATGACGACATGACAATACCGCCTGCCTCCCACAATATGGCACTCAACGGCCGAATGACAATCCCTGGACCCCACCACTGTCATGTAAAGGCGCAAATCTGTGTGTCGTGTCATGTCATGCACAGGGAGATTGCAATCCATCTGTAATCAACTCAGGAGCACATCGCATGTGTAAATTAATTGCCTACTGGTAACTGTAAAACACGGACAGGCAAGCACTGCCAATGATGGAAAAGTAGTCACCACTGCAGATACAGTCTGAGCCTTATAACGTGTGAAGAAGGCTTTTGATAGCATCCAATGGGAGCATATTATAAAGACTCTGAAGAGATCTGGAGTTGGGGGTAATAATTTTACAGGGTCTGGAGAACATCAGACCTCTGGTGCAAGGTTGATAATTATTGGCTCTATATCTAAGATGGCTGAGATTTTTGCCAGGGGCAAGACAGGGGAGTTCACGTTAATATTTAATCCTGCAGTGGAACCTCTAGCTGTTACCCTCAAAAAACAACCTCCCTGGGGTAGTGGTGGGAACCAAAGTGGTAAATGTCTCTTCTTAAGCAAATTATATGCTTTTTATGATAAACAAAGGCCTGTGGGACGAACCCAGCCTTCTAGGCCATTTCATGTGGCCCTTGCACCTCTCCTGCAGCTTTACATTTTTAAAATCAAGCTGGTGCTGTAAGCAGTTGCTGGGCTTCACAGGAAGGTTGCGGAGGTCCACAGCAAGGTCCCGGCAGCCTTCCTGTGAATTTTGGTGCATGTTTACAGCGCTGGCAGCCAATCTCCTCCTTCCTGTGGATCCATGCCCCCCGCCAAGACTGACCGGGACCCCTGGTGAGACTGCATAAACCCTGTATAGCCACCTGAGAGTCCCCACAGCCCACCAGAGAACTTGCACAGCCACCCGAGAGTCCGGACTATTACACGACTTGCCATTATTTTTCCTAAACTTTTGCTTTCAGCACTAGCTTCTAAGTTATAACTTAAACTAGTAATAATCAAATGCAGAAACAACCGGCCCTTTGAGGGCAACCATAATGCTGATGCACCCCTGTTCTAAACCATGCAAGTTCCTACCAATGATTATAGACTTGAATGAGAGATTTAGATCGTCAGAATATTTATACAAGGGAGAATTAAAAAATAAAAGGTAAAATACATTTAATGGCTTTAATAGAAGTAACTGTGAGCACTTGAAGATATCACTTTTCCACATAGTCCCTATGCAAGATGATGCACTTGCTGTATCGTTCAACTAGCTTCTGTATTCCTGCAGAGAAGAAGCTTTTCGGCTGCTGCTGAAGCCAGGTGTGTACCTCTTCCTTTACTTCATCATCAGAGGTGAACCTGGGACCACGGAGCGCCTCCTTCCTTTTGCTCTCCAGGTCGTAGTGGTGCACCCATGTCCGTCAACGATGGCAATTCCCTCCAGAATACACCGATCTGCTTCATACTGTCTCAAGAACTGGGTCACAACCTCCACACATGTTGCTTGTGCAGAGTAGTAAGCTGTTTGGGAAACCTTCGTACGCAGACTTTCCCGTATCCCAAGTCATCATGCACTATGGCAAATGCAGATCCATAGCTGATATCCCCAAAGAAAGCACGCTGCGGCACGTTGTTATGATGCAATCATGCAGTGGAGCGTCCATGTTTCTGTCCACGTGACTACCTTTCGATAAACGTCCATGCGCTGTACTGCCCATGGTCCAAATATCCAACCGGCTATGTTAATATGCAGCACTGCACAAGCGTCTCTCTTTTCTGCTTACTGTGTAATATATAAATTGCCTTTACTTTTTGATTCTCCCTCGTATATTCCTCCTGGTAGTGGATGCAATCAGAGGTTTTAGTCACTTAGGATTATATCTTGCGGATAGCTGGGATAACTTAACTATCCTCCTGTTCTAGACTAGGTGCTCGGACTTGGACCAGGAATGGGAAGAGCTTGTTAAGAGGGCGAGTGAATTTGATCGAATCTAATAACTTAAAGTGACATTAAACCCTCAGATTTGTTAACATAAAACAATAGTGTAATGTGCGCCTTACTGTAATCCATGGTTGTTTCCCTTCTCTTTGCTGCTCTTCCTTTTAAATCTGTATCTCTTCTCATGCTGGGCAGAACTTCTGTTTTGCAGCAGACTGCCTTGTCTCTGGAATGGATACATGGTGTCTGTGTCCAGGTTCACAACCTGAGCCAGCACTACAGGAAGAGGCACTCAGCTGCAAAGGGAAGTTCTCCCCCAGCATGAGAAGACATGAGGATTTAAAAGGAAGAGCAGCAAAGAGAAGGGAAACTACCATGGATTACAGTAAGGCGCACATTACAGTATTGGTTTATGTTAAAGTGACATTAAACCCTCAGATTTTTTAACTATCCTCCTGTTCTAGACTAGGTGCTCAGACTTGGACCAGGAAAGGGAAGAGCTTGTTAAGAGGGCGAGTGAATTCGATCGAATCTAATACTTTGCAAAGCTCGATGTATCTGATTCAATCTTTGCCCCGCCTGATTCGTGTGGATGGATTTGTGGAGATTGAAAAAGGGGATTATAAATTTAATTCTTATCAAGAGGGGGAAAAAAAATAAGAGTAGAATAAATGGATCAGTATTTAACTAAAGATGGCTTGGGACCTCCAAATATTAAATCCTATAATATGGCTGTGCTGGTAAGAACTGCTTTAGCCAGGCTCTTAAATAATGATAGTTTTATTGATTTCTAGGTGAAGCACCAATTCACTGAGGGGGTTGCTTTGGCATTTTGATTACATGCAAAGGAAAATGTATGCAATTTGGAGGTGCAACAGACCTCCAAGTTTGTGATAGCAGAGTTTTATTGGGCTACCTCTTGCGGGAAGAAAATTGTTTTGAATGTTGTTGGGTTCAAATATAGAGACACATTTCCAGTGTTTTAATGGATTGGATAGGATATTGGGATTACCTACAACCTACTAACCTGTATGTACAGTGATACAGGATCACTGCATGTGTTACCGCCAGATATAGTTTTTTTGATGATACGACTTACAGAGCAGAGTCACTCAATCACTGACAGGAAAAAAAAAAATCTTACATACAGGTAAGTAAATTACTATCCCAGGACATGTACAGCCAGGGCCCACCATTTATTCTTAGCAGTCTAACCACTGGGCGCTCCTCCATAGAGATTGTCCTAGCAATATATGCTGCACTGGCAATTACAACCATGGTGACACACCAATGTTTTTTAGCCTTTTCCACGTGGAAATTTTCAAGGTAATCTCCTTGTAGTCCTTCCTTTGCAAGTTAGAACATACACAACATACTTCGTGTTGCAAGTTGTTTTAGTCAAAATAATTTCCCTGTATTACAGGATACAATTGTTCATGAATCAACCAAAAACGGTCAATGGCAAGATTTTGCTTTTAAAGTGACTTGGTGACAGATATGAGCCCATTTTTTTGCAGCCACACAAAACAGACGCCCCCCTACTCTGGCTAATACTCAAGCACCTTCATGTCAATTAGGGATTGTCAGTGGATTTGGCAGCCTTGGGGTGTAGGATCTTGCGGGTAGATGGGGACTAAAGCTTAGGAGGTCTCAAAGTGGAAGCTGAGGGTGTGCTCTGAAGTTACAAGCAAATTTGTGCATTTACTATAAAAGCCATGCATAGGCCTTCCCACTTCCTGTTCTTTAATGTGGCAAGAAAAAGAATCATCAACTTGCGCAAAAAGATCGATTGTTTATGGACTATATATGGATAGCATCAAATGAACTCCAGTTATACTGGTAATTACTCCAGAGAAGATGTATGCACCGATCCTGCAGCCTGGTTGGTTGGATAGGGAAACATCCATATAACAGCACTGTAAAGAAAACATAGAAAACCGGCGCACCGATCTGAGTGCAGTATAAAGTGACTATTTAATAAGGGTAAAAGTAATGCACTTACAGGATATTAAAAAACATCTCGCCTGTCACGCATCAGATGAAAGTCCCATCTCAGCTGCTGGTACGAGATTGCTATCAGGATAGGGAGAAAGCAGAGTCCAGTTCAGTCCAGAAAGATCCCAGGACGCCTGTGCTGGAAGACACAGGTCTGATCCAGTGGCTGAGCACTCCTGAGGCCTGAGGCTTGACAAAGGAGGTGAACCTCTGAAACGCGTTGCCTAGCAACACCTGACGACCCGGAAGTACTCAGCAGCTGTGACCCTGCTTTGAGGAGAACCAGCCACAGCAGTGCTCAGCCACTGGATCAGACCTGTGTCTTCCAGCACAGGCGTCCTGGGATCTTTCTGGACTGAACTGGACTCTGCTTTCTCCCTATCCTGATAGCAATCTCGTACCAGCAGCTGAGATGGGACTTTCATCTGATGCGTGACAGGCGAGATGTTTTTTAATATCCTGTAAGTGCATTACTTTTACCCTTATTAAATAGTCACTTTATACTGCACTCAGATCGGTGCGCCGGTTTTCTATGTTTTCTTTAATGTGGCAAGGATCTCACTGACCAATGGAGGAGCTAAGCAAGGAGGGCCAAGCTTGACATTTACAGGAAAAGTTATGATTTGCCGATACCCACAGTTGCCTATACAGGCAGTCCCAGAGTAACGAAGAAGATATGGTCTGTAGGTTTGTTAAGTTGAATTTGTGTGTAAGTTGGAACAGGTATAGTTTTTAAGTGCAACTCTGCAGGAAACAATGGGCATTGTTTCCTGCAGCATTCTCCAGGAAACCAGGGTAGAAATATATGCTTAACTCTTAGGCGGGGTTCATGATTGAGGGACTAGGCATCATACAACCTGGAATAGGACAGGTGCTGTATCACAGAGTGGGGAGTCTGCAGTGCTGGATATAAAGCCCCATTCACACTGCGCGATTCGCAAATCTCGCGTTTGTCGCGAGATTTGGATTTTGCACGATATCGCGCAAATGCTTGCATTGAGCAAGCTTGAATCGCGGCTAAATCCGCTCCAAAAAGGGTCCTGCTGTAGCGATGCACGACCCGCAACAGCAGGACCCTTTGCCCCATTGAGAAGCATTGGAGAGCGATATCGCGCTGTAAATTGCCGCGATATTGCGGGAATTTCCGCTCGATAAATCGCTAAGTGTGAACGGGGCCTAAGGGGGATATTACAGCAGAAGCTGCTTTTTTATTTTACTCCTGCAGGGGTAATTTGTTTAAAGTGACACTTCAGGGGCTAAAGCTTAAAAATTTGACTGTAGATCCTCAAATCATCTCTGAATTGGTGCTGACACTGTCCTTCCTTCTGGAGGGGGGCTACTTGTTCCCCATGGTGTGTGTTGTAAAGTAGTCACCGCTCCAAGCTCGCTCCCAGGATAGACTACAATCTCAATACAAATGAGTAAACTAAGCATGAGATTGTAGTCCATCCCGGGAGTGATCTTGGAGCGGTGACTACTCTACAACCCACACAGGGACCATGGGGAACAAAAGTAGCCACCCTCCAGAAGGAAGGACAGTGTCAGCACCAATTCAGAGATCATTTGAGGATCTACAGCCGAGTGATACACAATTAAGAGACATTTTTGAGATTTAACTCCAGGACTTTAGTGTCCTATAAATGTATAGGCTGGAGTTGGTCCTTAACCTCCCATTGTCCATTAAACCTTTATTAATGCTTTTAAAAAATATTCACCAACCTTTCCCACCCCTCTTGATAGCATTTTGCCTATTAAAACAGGAAAGGTAAACTTCAAATATAACAATTAGTAATTCTAATAAAGAATTTAGTAAAAATTTACCACTTGCGCTTCCGGTGCCGCTACTTGAACTGGGCCCAGGAGAAGACACCACAGTCCTGTATGTGGGGGGCGGAGGTGGGGGTGGTGTAGCTCTTTGTCCCAGCCCAAAATCTTTAGGAGACGCTGTCGTTTCTAATACTTCATCTTTAATGAAGGACTGTTCCGCTATTTTCTTGTGGACCTCTTCCAGGTTGAGCGGGGAAGGTATATTTCGACAGATCTCTACAGGAGGCGGCGGTGGTGGCGGCGAGGAAGGTTCACATGGGCTTTCGAGTTCTTCAGCTGAAGGGGACTCGGCCATTCTACAAGGAGCGGGGACGGGGGAGATTGATTCTGGGGAAGTGTCAGAAAACCTGATCCATTTATCTTCTGAGGTGACTGCCACACACCTGGGGGATAATAAGGGGCCGAAAATACTGTCCATGTCATTGATCCTTGAAACTTGTTCTTCTTCGGCATCTTCTTCTCTCCGTTCAACTTCGGAAACTGTAATTTGATCTGTAAGGAAAGTGGAAGAAAAAAAGAAGACAAATTAATTCTCTCATGAAAAAACCCTGGGTGCTGTTCAACTGTCACTTGTAGTATTTATTAGGGATGCACCGATACTAGTATTGGTATCGGTGCAGATACCGATTATTTGGGCAAGGACTCGTACTCGTCCAAATGCTCCGCTCCCGGAACTTCTCGTCAGAGGGAGCATGGAGCCGGCTTCCTTTCCAATCAGGAAGCCGGGCATCACATCATGACCCGCCTCCAGGCTTCCTAATTGGCTAGGAAGCCGGCTTCACTTGTTGCTAGGCAGCCTGGCTCCTAACCAATCAGGAAGCCAGGCGGCATGTGATTACCCGCCTCCCAGCTTCTTGATTGGTCAGGAAGCCAGGCTGCCTAGGAACAAGTGAAGCTGGCTTCCTAGCCAATTAGGAAGCCTGGAGGCGGGTCATGATGTGATGCCCGGCTTCCTGATTGGCTAGGAAGCAAGCTTTATTTGTTGGTAGGCTGCCTGACTTCCTAACCATTCAGGAAGCCGGGCGGCACATCAGACTCGCGTCCCGGTCTCCTGACTGGCTAAGAAGCCAGCTTCACATGTTGCCTAGAAGGCATGGCTTCCTGACGTGCCGCCCGGTTTCCGGATTGGCTAGTAAGCCGGCTTCACTTGTTGCCTAGGCGGCCTGGCTTCCTGACCAATCAGGAAGCCGCTCGGCTGGTCATGATGTGCCGCTCGGCTTCCAGATTGGTCAGGAAGCATCGGCAAATAAAGCAGCTGTTATTTAGCTAGAACACCGGCTTCACAGGAAATCAGGAAGCTGGGTCACGAATCATGATCCTCCGCCCGACTTCCTGATAATCGCGGCACACAGTACCGGTACTCGGCGAATGCCCAAATAAAAAATATCGGTACTCATACACGATACTGAAAAACTGGTATCAGTGCACCCCTAGTATTTATATACCTGTATCCCTAATGGGGAGATTCACTCTTACTATTTGCCTTGGTGACCAACCTTGCTAGGACAGAATGTGATGGGAAATCCAAAAAATTGTACGGAATAGGTTTGCTTTAAGGACCTGGACCTGTGACACCAACAGACATCTCTAACTAGAACACAGCATCATTAGAGGAAGAGGGCAGAATGGACACAACGAAAATAAAAATGTCCACCTGCTTTTTGTTTAGTTCCCTTTGGCACTATCCTTTAATTTAATACCTCAAGTAGAATGATTCACCAGCCCTGTACTGCCAGAGCTGGATCCACAGCTACTAATCGTATTTAAATATCATTATTTGGTATCATCATTTGTTCAGCTGGCTCAGATCAAGTGCTATTATCCACTGACATCATGACAGAAAAACAAGCGCTGTAAAGTAGTGGTGGGCTATTCCAGCCCTCCAGCTGTGCTGCAACTACAAATCCCAACATGCCTGTAACTGTCAGTCTTGCAATGCCTCATGGGACTTGTAGTTCCACAACAGCAGGAGGGCCAGAGTTGCCCGCCCCTGCTGTAAAGGATGCAGAGAGTTGCTTTGCCCTCCAGCTTGTGATGCTGCCTTTTGCGGTGGATTCACAAGTGTCATGACATGTCGGCCAGTACACTGTACAGGTATGAGTTGGTGCGTGCAGAGTAAAGGCTGATACTAGGTCACACCAGTGAAAAACTGTGGAAAAGCTGCTGAAGCTGTATGAGGTGCACATGTTCTACATATAACAAGTGTAATGTCCAACCTAAGTGGTTGAAGTAACTCAAATGAAAGGGAGAAAGTTACTAAGATATTGTTTAAAGTAGTATTAAAGGCTGGGCGTTTTTTTTCCTTAATACATTCTCTGCATTAAAAGGAGAACTATGAGGTGAGTGCTTTTCACTCACCTCATAGTTCTAGCTGACCTGTGACAATGAGACTGTCACAGGTCGGCTCAGTAGATCGGGAGGTGAGCGAACACATACCGGCGTTCGCTCACCTCTCAATCCTGCCACAGCTCTCTGCCGTGACAGGGGAGGGGCTGGATTCCCCCTCCCCGATCCGCCAGCGCTGACTGGTGGATCGGACGGGGGAGGGGGCGGGTACAGCTGGCTCTGCTTCTAGATAGGCAGAGCCAGCTGTCACTCACGCAGCTGGGCGGATCTCGACATCGGGAACGACGTTAGGGTAACGGGAGGACGCTAGTTTGTGTCCTCCCGTTACCCTACGAAGAACTATGGGGAAAACCCTGACCCCATAGTTCTCCTTTAAAGGTTAAAAACACCCAATACCTTTTTGACTCCCTAGTCCCCCCTCCCACATTTACCTGTCCCCGCCACCGGTCCCCGCAGCGATCCTGAACTCCCTGGTTGCAGGGGAGGAGATTGAAGGCAGAGGAGCTCCTTCTGCCATCAATCAACCTGTTGGGCGGAGACGTGTCTATGGACGCACACAGGGCACGGCTGGGAATGAGCATGCACGGGTGCCTGCACAGCATCCGCTTAGCTGCTGGAAGCACCCGTGCGGAGGGAGAGAGCATGTGGGGACCAATTAGAAAATGAGGAATTAATAAAAATTAAGGGTAAAAAACCTGAAGATCTAGAACAAAGACAGTCTCCCAGTGGAAAAAAAACAAAAACGCTAAAGCTTTAATCCCTGTGAAGTAGAACTATCTATGTTTTGCAGCACTTACAGTTTTTTTTTCTTAGTCTCCCTGCAAAGTCCCACAAATACCTGTTGATCCTGCCAGGGAAATCCGCCTAATGCACCTTCCTGTGACAATGCGGCAACAATGCTGCACTGCTCCTGAATTTAGAGCAGAGTTGTCGCTCTCATGTAGTTGTGGGGTGTGTGGCTATCAGCATTGCCTGTAGCTTGTTCATCAACACTTGGCCACACCTAGCCCCGGCCACTGCTTTCTACATTGACAGCGTTGCCTCTGTTGCTAAAACACTCCCACTGTGAGCTGCAGTGTCTGGGAGGGGGAGCGTGTGAAACACAAATGGAGGATTTGGCTGTATCAGGAAAGGTAAAGGCAGATTTTTTGTTTATTTGTTGTTTACTTTCTGAGACTTGTGCATCACATAGTAATTAGATTTGGAGACCTGTTTAGACTGTCATACAGGAGCCTTCAGCATTGAAAGACAGCTGTGTTATAATTCTGATAACCCATTGGGCCACTTCTTAATGGCTAAGGTGCCTTCACCTAAATCATTTTACTTCTGCAAAGTGCAGGAGACTTTTAGAAGCCATTACTGGGCAGTCTGCACTGGATGCCAGATGGTCCACCCTTGTACGGCTTTTACTTGCAACCTGCAGCTAAATAATTTTCATATTTTAAACTCCATCCACCAAAAGGAGAAACGTTAATCAATCAAACTGACTTTCTGGTGTCCCCAAGTTACTGGTGGCCCTGGTGATTTGCAAATGTCCAACACAATGGAGGTCATTAGTTTGAACCAAAGCCAACAAACTCCCATAAAATCATTTAGATTTGCTATTCTTCAGCAAATGGAACAATACAAAGATTTACATAGTGCTACTTCTAAAAACAAGACTGTTTACTGACAGCATGGCAGAAGTCACTCACCTATCTCTGCTGGCAATGGCGAAGCTGTTCTTGGTGGAGTGGCTGGAATATTTTTGGGTGGAATAGGTGGAGGTGCTATCAGAAAAAAAAAAGATTGTTAGATTCCAAATGTACATTCATTGAACAAAAACGTCTTGAGTAGGCAGAAGGAACCTCGGAGCGTGGTGGGGGGACACTCCTGAAAGTGTTGATTGCCGAAGGGCTTCAGAGCTGGAATGGAAGGAGAAGGTAGGAGACACGGGCCATCTGGAACTTGAGTATGCAACTACTCCTCTTGCAAGGCAGTAGTGGTTTCATATGTTTAGAGACCCCTCAATACTCACATTCAGCATGCTGTTTACCAGTCAGCGCCCTGGGACTTAGCCCTTTTCGTCTTCCTCACATGACACTGTTCAGGCCTGGTGATTGGCTGTGTAGACCTGAGCAGTGTATCCTGGGAGAATGGGGAGGTGATCACATTCCACCATAGCAGAAAATAGTGGGGATCTCTGACAGATAAACAAAGCAGTGGGGATGAGAGTGAGTATAACGTCTCTCGTCAAATTACAGATAAAGGGCCATATTCAGGGTTTAACATGAAACATTGTGACCTCGCTAATCCCCTCCCACACTTATCTGAATCTCAGGGTTCTTCTCCACGAAGTCCGATGCCGTTTTTTGAAAATGGTGTGGCTGCGCACACAGCCATGTCATCCATTCACAAATCCTTTGACATGATCTGCCACCGTGGCAGAGGGACTTTTACTTCTCAATGTAGTAAGAGTGCGGTGAAGTCACCACACTTGTAGTCCACTGACACTTCCTCTTGTCCCTGTTACTGAATGTTCGTATGCCAGTTACTGAATGTCTGTAAGGACAGGGACAAGAGGGAGAATCTTGAGGATGCATTGATTGCACTTGCAATGCTTTACTGGCCCCAAAGTATAAAAATAAATGCACACTTTGTTTTAAATGTGCCCATTTACTTATTTTTAAAGGTGGACTTTACCTTTAAACTAAAAAAAAGAAACAAAGTACCGTATTTTTCGCTCCATAAGACGCACTTTTTTGCCTCCCCAAAAGGAGCGCAAAAAATGTGACTGCGTCCTATGGGAGCGAATACCTATCGCCCGACGCCCGGGACATGCAGTTTCGGGCGCCGGGCGAGTAGTTTCTTTTTGTACATTCAGCCCTGCTCCTGACAAGCAGAGCTGAATGTACAGTGGGAGCCGCTGCTCGTTTAATACAAGCGATCTAATTAGATCCCTTGTATTAAATCGAGCGGCGGCGATCGTGTCCGCCCCCTGCCGTGGTTTTTGGGGTCCCCCGCTCCTCTGGGGGACCGTGACCCATCACAGTCCCCCATAGGAGCTCACCATAGAGCCCCTTGAGCAGACGAAGAACGTCGTTCTTCGTCTGCTCTGTGTGATTACGGAGACAGCGCCACCTGTCTCAGCGGTCACTAAATGCAGCTTCTGTGACAGAATTTCTGTCACAGAAGCCCTGCGTCCTATCGTCCGGAGCGTCTTATAGACCGCAAAATACGGTAACTACATAAACAAGTGTGGGTACTAGCATAGTTATGCTATATACATAAACACAGGACACAAACAAAGAACATAGAAAAATACTTACTTCCCGTGGGCAATGGTCTTGACAGGTTTGGGGATTCTGCAGTTGCAATATTTTGTTGTGAAGCTCCCCATATTTCGGGCTGATCTAGAGGAACTGAGATGGGAAAGTTTTGTTCAAATAATACATTATTGATAAACGTCACCAAAATAAGGTATATACACAAATGTTTGAGCTGGAGAAATGCAGGCTACAGAAAACACAGGAAGAAAAACACCCGGACCATAATAAAGTCCTTCCTATTAGCTGCCCCTATTTAAGTAAACAATTGATCTTTGTGGAGATACAACACACACACAGACAGACGTTTCCATCTCCAGGACTCAACTCACCCTCAGACTTGGACTCCTCGAAGGTAGATTCCAGAGGAGGCCCGAATAATTCAGCTGGTGTCTTCTTACTAAAGGAATGTGCAACAGACAGTTTTTAAAGTGTTGGCTGATGAATTAGAGAACTGGGGCAGCTAAGGTGTTACAGCCATCCTATAATTATTGTAAAAAAGAACACATTGTGGACGTACACTGCCTACAACCCCCCCACAAAAAAAAAAGTAATCCATTGGATAATAGGTCTAGGTTAAGCAACATTATGTCCCCTCCCTGACTATACTGAATTACCAGGTTTTTCCATCAATGGATTTTTTCTTCCCTGATGGCATATTCCAGGATGACAATGCCAGGATCCATCGGGCTCAGATTGTGAAAGAGGGGTCCAGGGTGCATGAGACATCATTGTCACAGATGGATTGGCCACCACAGAGTCCAGACCTAAACCCCATTGAGAATCTTTGGGATGTGCTGGAGAAGACTTTACGCCGTGGTCCGACTCTCCCATCATCGCTACAAGATCTCGGTGATACATGAATGCAGCTCGGGATGGAGATAAATAGGGGTCATTGAAGTGAATGGCACCGCAGCCATGCCCTCTGGCCGCGATGCGATCGGCCGCACGCAATCGCAAGGCACATTATGCCTGCGGTCCGGTGCGATCAAAATCGTGCTTGCAGTATTTTGATCGCACCGGACAGCAGGCATAATGTGCCTTGCGATCCCGTGCGGCCAGAGGGCGTGACTACGGTGCCATTCACTTCAATAGCCCGCCTATTGCCCCACAAAAAAAAAGTGTGCCGGCTGCAATGCGAGACAGTGCGTTCTGGCCAGAATCGGGCCGTAACGTACTGCATCTGGTGTGAACAGGCCCTAAGGCTTGCAAAATAGTCGTTTTTTTAAGTTAGCAAACGCTGCTAAAGCAATATGTGGTCAAAAAAGGGTTAAATCCAGTGTTGTGCTACAAGATACGAACAGAGCCTCCATCTATGTGTAATTGTTTTACAGCTATACATAGGACTGATATATTATTACCATGTGATGACACACAATGATGGACTTTGGCTGCTTTGCAAAACCAACCTTGCAAGTTCAGGCGTGGGAGTCGAACGCCTCGGCCTAGCAATCTCTTCGCCTGTACAGATTGAGAGAAAACGCGTTACGGAGTCTTGGACACTGTTAATTAACAGAATTCCTTCCAACTTCCTATAAGCCGGAATATCTTACAATCGGGTGTCAAAAATCAAAATAAAAGAATCGTAAAAAAAAAAATGAATATGGCAGAAATAATTGCTACAGAATCCTTTTGTAAATTAAGGTCATAAAAAAATGACCTTTCCATTTTAAACTGCAGCCAATGCAAATATCCAAAACTGTCCTGAAAACATTCAATGCATTATGGCGGCCCAGAAATGTCATTTCCTGCTTCTGTGATTGGCTGACTGATTTTGACAGACATCTTTTTTTTGAGAAAGGCGAGATACTCCTTAAAAGGAGAACTATGAGGTGAGCGATTTTCACTCATACTCATAGTCAGAGCCGACCTGTGACAAAGAAGCTTTCACAGGTCGGCTCTATCGATCGGGAAGTGAGCAGAAACATGCCGCCGATCGGCACACTTCCCGATCTTCTCCCTGCAGTGAAGGTGACTGTCAGTCACCCTTCCCCGCAGGGATTCCTCCCCTCTTCGATCCTCCAGCGCTGAGTGGAGGAACGGATGGGGCGGTCACAGCTAGATAGGCAGAGCCAGCTGTCACTCATGCAGCTGGGTGGATCTCGACAGTAATGTCGGGATCTGTCCCGGCTGCGGCGCTCTCAGTATAATCAAGGGCAATAGCCCACGATATACTGAGCTTTGGGTCACGGGAGGACACTAGTTTATGTCCTCCCATGACCCTAAAGAGAGGTATGGGGAAAAACACTTACCCCATAGTTCTCTTTTAAGGTTTAATTACTAGTAAAGGGACGCCGACGCTGCACCTTTCCTCACTACAACACAGAAAGTCCACCAACTGGTTATAATCAACCCGACCCTCCCATTCAGGAACGAGTTTGGAAAGGTGAAACGAGTTGATATTTGTTTAGAAAAGAAGCAGGTAATAATCTGCAACAAAAATCCTAGCACACAGATTACCCAGAGGGGATAGATTTTAGTTTTCTTCAAAAAAGTGGAATTACTCTTTAACCCTTGCAGCGTGAGGGTAGCCGCCCACTTTTTGGTTACCCAGAGATGGGCTTCAAGTTAAAAAAAAAGAAAAAATAACTTATTAGATCCAAAATCTCACATAAACATTCTACTTACGTGACAAGTTTCTTTTAATTGAGCCCTATATTAATAAAAATGAATATTTGTTAAATCACAAAGCATGCACGGTTTAGACAATCATTAGTAGTCACACATTAGAAACAAAAGCCTGTTAATTATATTAATTCAGGGCTGGACAATCTTCATCGACAAGGAAGGGAAAGGTAACAGAAGGGGGGGGGGTCTCAGCCTTGTTACTGATGTGAAATACATGTAGTTGCCTAATTCTAGATATAAAGCCGAATTAAACTTTTTTTTTATATACAAAAACTCTGAATTAGCAGATTTAAAAAAGTGCGCACATGGGGGAGAGGTGGGAGCCGAGCTGTTAAATCACTGCTGGAAGGGGGTGAGCTCCATAGGGGCCAGAAAGCTAGCTCCATGGCTAATCAGAAAGACAGGGCGGGAGTCATTACTCGTCGCCCGGCTTCCTCAAAGGGACTTCCGATATCGGTATTCGGTATCGGTAAGTACCGGGGGGAAAAAAATATCGGTACTCGTACTCGAATCCCTAGTGCACCATGTCTGCGTAATGTGTTTAAAATGGCAGCCCGTGTTACAAAGCACAATTGGAGACTGGGACAGAGCATTGTCACTGGAGAACAGGAAGTGTCTGAACAAGAACCTTCATGGCAGGATCCCAGTGTATTATTTTAATGAAAGCTGCAATTTTGTATAAAATGAAAATGGTTTTTAAAATTGCATTAACATGTTAAAATGTGTTTTGGGTTTTTCTAAGAGTTTAGTGATTGGGTTTACATCTACTTGAGAAATCTAAAAGATGATCAACTGATGGAAACAGAAACAATCTCATGTGGTGATGGGAGGGGGGCAGGGGGGAGGGGTTATGTTACACATGTCTATGGACCTTTGAAAAGTACAGATCTCTAAACTTGCTACAGAGCTTGCAAATTTAGGGCAAAAATGGTCTCAAATAAAAAAAAAAAGCACATTTCAGATATTCCAGCTGTATGGACCCATCCCTCAAATTCTAAATTCATTCGTCCAGCCCTGTATTCATATGTAAGGTGGCAGTAAACAGTTGCTGAATTTAGTCTGGAAATAAACACGCACAGAGCATCTGACAGCCATTTTGTTACAGTTTGGTTAGAAGCGGAAAAGAATGGTACTGAACAACAGCTCTTACCACGTTATACCCATACAAAGTGGACAGCTGGAGCATTGCTTGGTCTGTCCATAGATATGATTTCTTGCGATTTGTAAAACTATGAAGTACGATCTTTGAACCTATTCCCGGCAAACGGCAAAGGAAGCCAATCGCCTGACACAAAGATGAATTCAGCGCTAAACCCAGATTTAATTTTGTGCCTGTAGATCACTTTTAAAGTACAACTGCGATGAGAGAAACACATGGGCAGCCCTCTTGAAAACGCTATTTGCATGTCTGTCCCTGGCTGGGTTCCGGACTTCTAAGCTACAGACCCAGAACAAGCATGCAAATAAAATGAAAGTCAAAGAAAAATCAGAATTCCTTCTTTCTAAACTTCTGCGGAGTCAGTGGCTGAAGGTACCAAGGCCAAAGCATCAGCCGCACAGCCAGATGGCCCAACATTTTGGGAAGATGTCATCTGCAGATTTCTATCCTGACACGTTCCCTTTAACCTAGCTAGAAATTATAGTCCATGAAAAACTTAGAGAGCCCATCACTTTTCTGATGCCAAGTCTTGACATATGGCCTTTATTTAAGTAGGTATTACACTTATCCCCGTGTGTCCTCAGAGGCCCCGGCGTTAGGCTGCCTACAAGTTCTACCAAGAGGCTCCGAGGTGACCAGCGCTCAGCAATGCCGCATGGCTCTCCTCAAATGTCACGGCCTGCCAAGCAGGACACTCCAGCGAAACAAAAGGGGAAACTGTAGAGGTTCCAGAGCTTACAAGGAGAATTATCTCACCCATAGCAAGCAATCAGACTTTCCTTTGTCATATAATGTAGTGAACGAATGAAAAGGAGGACCTCAATGTTAGGTGGAAGCTCTCAGGGTTTCGCCACATGACTTAGGGGTTTTAGGGTAGTCTTTAACGTCTTGGCCATGCACCAGTAGAATGCCGTTTGAAACATTAGGGATGCACCGATACCAGTTTTTCGGTATAAAGTATGAGTACCGCTTGCTTTTTTTTCGTTACTCGCCGTTACCGAAAACTGATACTGGTGCCATGTGCCCCTATTATCAGGAAGGCGGGCGAAAGATCTAGACCCGCCACCCAGCTTCCTGATTGCCTGGTAAACCCGGGTGTTCCATCAAAAGAATACCGACTTCAATTCCCGAGGCTGCCTAGCTTCCTGACCAATCAGGAAGCTGGGCGGCGGGTCATGAGGTGCTGCCTGGCTTCCTGATCGACTGCCTAGCAACAAGTAAAGCCGACTTCCTAGCCAATCAGGAAGCCGGGCGGCATGTCAGGACCTGCCTCCCAGTTTCCCGATTGGCTAGGAAGCCGGCTCCACTTGTTGAAAGGCAGCCTGGCTTCCTGACCAATCAGGAAGCTGGGCGACGAGTTACGATGTTGGTTAGGAAGCCAGGCTGCCTAGCAACAAGTAAAGCCGGCTTCCTAGCCAATCAGGCCGATTGAAAAGGAAGCCGGCTCCATGCTTCCTTGGCACTGTCGGTCAGAGGGAGATCTCCCTCTGACAGGTAGTTCCGGTATCGGAGCATTTGGGCGAGTACGAGTACTCAGGAGGAGATGTGTCAGATCTCTGCAGAGAGACTACTGCATCCACGCAGAGAGCGAGTGCAGGGGACAGGCCGCTGTATTCAGGCAGTGGCTAAGACTTTGCACACCTTTTGTTTTTAAGCACCTAGAATGTATTGAGCCGATTTGAAGCTGAAAGCTCCACATGCCTTTAAAGAAGAACTCTGGTGAAAATGTTTCTTAACCCTTGCAGTGGGGCTAACCCCGCACTGCAAGGGTTAAGTGCTCATTTTGGTCTAAAAATAATGAAGTTATACTCACCCGATCTGTGGAGCTGGCAGGCTTTTAGACGGGTCCTTCCAGCCCCCTCTCCCCCTCTGCTGCAGCGCTCAAAGGTCCCATGAGTCACCAAGTCCTATACATGTATAGGATGTAATGATGCCGAGGGATATACCATTGCTGCAGCGGAGAAGACAGGCTGGAGGGAGCACTCTAAGAGCCAGCTGGCTCCGAGGTTCGGGTGAGTATAACTGTTATTTTTGCACCTAGACCAAAACGAGCACTTTACCCTTGCAGTGCGGGGATAGCCCCAGTGCAAGGGTTAAGAAAAAAAATTCCCCGGAGTTCTTCATTAGGATTCTGTGATCTTTGCTAATAGAAGAAGTACCAGCGATGCCAATTTTGGTGACTTTATATAGAAATCTACCTGTTGGGAAGAAAAGCATGTTACCAAAATGAACGGATAGAACAATAACAAAGCATCATCGTCTGAGAAAAGCAAAAATAACTGAGCTTACCGGACTACGTCTCTGCGGCCAGCACAAGGGAAGAGAGAAGACACACCTAGTCAAAGAGTGATACATCAGTGATCACTAACACACAAGCAGGTCAGACTGTGCTACAGCAAAACCATCCAAGTCAAATGCTGAATGATCAATCACGGCAGAATAGATCCCTCTGAACATTACAAAGAGCCAACTTACAACCTGCACAGCTATAAAAAGAGAGAATTGGAGAGCCATACGTGAAGGCGGCATGAGTGCCAAGTAGTTAATGCAGCTAGAATACAACAGCTGGCTTTTGCTAGACTGGCCCTGGGCTGCTTGATGGAGGTTTCTGCTAAACTGGCCCTCGGCTGCTTGGTAGAGGTTTCTGCTAGACTGGCCCTCGGCTGCTTGGTAGAGGTTTCTGCTAGACTGGCCCTCGGCTGCTTGGTAGAGGTTTCTGCTAGACTGGCCCTGGGCTGCATGCTGGAGGTTTCTGCTAGACTGGCCCGTGGCTGCTTGCTGGAGGTTTCTGCTAAACTGGCCCTGGGCTGCATGATGGAGGTTTCTGCTAGACTGGCCCTTGGCTGCTTGCTGGAGGTTTCTGCTAGACTGGCCCTTGGCTGCTTGCTGGAGGTTTCTGCTAGACTGGCCCTTGGCTGCTTGCTGGAGGTTTCTGCTAGACTGGCCCTGGGCTGCATGCTGGAGGTTTCTGCTAGACTGGCCCTTGGCTGCTTGCTGGAGGTTTCTGCTAGACTGGCCCTGGGCTGCATGCTGGAGGTTTCTGCTAGACTGGCCCTGGGCTGCATGCTGGAGGTTTCTGTTAGACTGGCCCTTGGCTGCTTGCTGGAGGTTTCTGCTAGACTGGCCCTGGACTGCTTGCTGGAGGTTTCTGCTAAACTGGCCCTTGGCTGCTTGCTGGAGGTTTCTGCTAGACTGGCCCGTGGCTGATTGCTGGTGGTTTCTGCTAAACTGGCCATGGGCTGCATGCTGGAGGTTTCTGCTAGACTGGCCATGGCCTGCATGCTGGAGGTTTCTGCTAGACTGGCCCTTGGCTGCTTGCTGGAGGTTTCTGCTAGACTGGCCCTGGGCTGCATGCTGGAGGTTTCTGCTAGACTGGCCCTTGGCTGCTTGCTGGAGGTTTCTGCTAGACTGGCCATGGGCTGCATGCTGGAGGTTTCTGCTAGACTGGCCCTTGACTGCTTGCTGGAGGTTTCTGCTAGACTGGCCCTGGGCTGCTTGCTGGAGGTTTCTGCTAGACTGGCCCTGAGCTGCTTGCTGGAGGTTTCTGCTAAACTGGCCCTTGGCTGCTTGCATCACTTCCAGTCTCTTAGCTGTCATTCCCCTGCAAGAGAAGCAGGGGAAGAAGTTATTCAAGCTCAATCTGCTCTTGAATAGCTTCTATGCAGTGGAAAGGTGACACGTGACACTAGGGGTCACAGTGTTTTACGGGTGCACGCATATTTTAAGTGTGACACATTGGGTATCTGTTAGCTCGGCTCAACCTCATCTTTTATATTTTACAAAAAATGGGCATTATATGGATATGCACTGATTGTTTCACATTTTTCTTGGTTTTTCTTTCTGTCTTTATGTATGCTAAAAAGATCCGATTCCCAGGGCATTGCCGTCACCGGCAGAGGAAGTAAAAACTACCCGATGGGCACACAGATAATAACCTTTAATAAAAAAAAATTAAAAATTGTTCTGGTTGTACTGATCCATTTCTGTTTTATTACGAATAATAAAATCTGAAGATGGCTTACAATGAGTGCATCAGTAACAACTAGTCTCACCTGTGATTTTGGGGTGACTAACCACACTGACCCACCACCATAGCAAATCACAAAACACACAGCTGGTGGAACAAACAAACCCAAATGTTGTGCCATGAGCTCATTTATACCCAGGATCACCTGCTCTGCTTATAGGGAACCTATCAAGATAGAGATATGTCATCCATCTCCGACAACTTACTTTTACACGGTGCTAGCTGCAGAGCTGTCATCAATGCTTCTTAATTGGACTTGTGTCGATGGGCAAACGCAGCGTACTTATAGGTTCATTTCGCTTGCATCTGAGGTCAGTTTGAGCATCGTCACTGAAAGGTGCATTTGACCACCTTCTGACCTGCAGCTGATTTGCCTTCTGAGCTGCATCAATCGACCAAACTGCTTTTGCATCTCCCCGTTTATAAGGAAGATAAGCAGTTCTGATACAAACAAAAACTGGTCAAAACGAGTCCTTATTGAATCACTGACCTGGAACAGGTACACAGCCAGAAGTAAGGAGTCGCAACCTGCACACTTGTTGCTCATCAAAGGTTCTCCAAGTATGGAATGAAAGATAAGAGTGACAGCCTGGAGCTTGCACCTTTAAAAATAAGTTGACATTGCCAGCACGCATATTCCTATCCTGGTAGGTTACCTTTATGGCTGATGGAAGACCGGCTCTTTTGGTGCAGCATCTGAGAGCGGTGAGTGTTAGCTCCATGGTCCAGTCATGCAGATTGCTGGAAGCCTTCACATGACGTATGACAGGATCATTGGGCTTGCTTTTAGGATTTCTCACAAGTATATAAAATGGTTTCTTAGGGCCATGTCACACTAGTAATCAAGTCATTGGTGGAAAATGACAAGCAGCAGGATGGCTAAGAAGGCTGCTCACCTGTGACACCTATGACATTGTTGCCCCACTGCAAAATATGTTGAACAATCTCGCTGGTTTGGCCAGTGAATTCTCAACACTGTAGGAGCAGGTGAGCTTTTTCTGCTCTCTTAGGGCTCCATTTTTAAAACAGGAATATGGCCTTACCACAGTCATAAAACTGCCTAATAAAAAAAAACCCCAAAACACATTTATAAATCTCAGCAGTGCCATTCAAAGCAAGCAGGGAGCCATTTGAATGAATGAGTGGGGAAAAGAAAAAAAAATATTGGAGAAGAAGAGTCTGGTAGTGCGACCTGCAAACCACGTGGCTCGCCTCTCTTCCAATCATGGAGTCCTCTCTGCAGGGAGAGTTCTGTGGAGCACCACAGCCTACATTTTATGAATGGGGTGTAAAATGCAAGAGGTCTTGTGGAGTAATACTGTGGGTGTCCAATAAAGAGCAATAGCACCATTCCTTTTTAAATTGGCTCCTTAGTGGTCCTGCTGCATGAAAGTTGCTGTAAGTAACAGGGACACTAGAATGGGGGGTAACAGAAGAGGGAATAGTTATCCTTAAGCAGCACTTCCAGGTGTGTTGGCCCACATTCGTCTCTGAGTAGCGACTGGCTGGGCAAGAAGAAAAGCACCAAAAGCAAAACATATAAAAGGACAGGTTTCATTTTATGCAGATTAATATCATATAGAGTAGATCCAATGTGTTGCAGGGGGTTCAGAGGGTCCCCTTCATCGGGGATTGGTACTGGACTGATAACAATGGAGGGATCCTGGGGAGTAATTACTATGATCACTGCAGATGCCAGTTAAGCATGCAGAGTAAATCATACTATTTACCCCTCAGGATCTCTACATTTTTATCAGTCCAGTACACAATTTGTTCAACAGTACAAAGCCCTGATAAAGGGGGATCCTATGAACCCCTGAAACGTTTTGGAATTTTAAGATAAGCGTCTGAATAAAATTGAATCCAAACCCAATACATTCTGCTTTGATGCTTTCTTCCGAGCACACTCAGCATCACAGTATGACATGGCCCCATTCACCCGTGCTTTCTGATAAGGTCATGTTTTTTTGGAGGACCCGATCAGATGCCCAATGTAAGTCTATGGGCAGCCAGATCTAAACAGGCATGTGTCCGATCGCCGCCCGGCTCTGGCTAGGTCCGGAAAAACAAACAAAACAGTGTTCCATTTTGACTAACCTAATCGTGCCAGATCGGGGGTAATCTGATGTAAATGGACACAAGTCGTTTACATTCGATTCCCTATAGACCAACATGCGGTCCAGACAGTGGTGACATATGATCTGTACCGCTCCCATCAGGAGAGGATCCATGCACATATCCCCTCCGGATCTGATAATGTGAAAAGTGCCTAAGGCCAGATCACACAAATTGCGGCGTGTTCCAGAGCGGTAGCTGCTGGAACGCACAGCAATCGCACTCTAAACTCCCCCCTTCGTTTTGACATGTGGCAAAACATTGCCTGCGTTCCGGTCCAGTGCTAACAGAAAAAAATGCTGCATGCTTTATTTTTTTCCTGTTTGCACTGGACCAGAACGCAGGCCATGTTTTGCCATGCATCCAATCGCACTGCGGCCAGGGGGCGTGGCTGCGGTGCCATTGACTTCAATGCACCGCCACGCTCCCTCACGCCCCAGAACGAAGGGGTGAGTTTAGTGTGCGATTGCTGTGCGTTCCAGCAGCTCCCGCTCTGGAACGCACGCGATTGGTGTGAACTGGCCCTTAAGCAGCAACTTTCTGAGCAAGCACCTAGTCATGCATTTGTCAGTATTCATTTATAGTAATGTTTGTTACAATGTAATTCCCTATGTAATCAGGTCAGAAGCAACACAAAAAGCCTTAGTCTGCCATCAGCCAAAAGCTGTCCATAGATGTTACAATCAGTGACAAATTCGATAATTTTGCTCAGAAACAGTAACACAAAAAAGATCTATTTGGCTGAATTGTAACTGGATTTTGTTGCGGACCGATCACAAATTCCATTTTCGATGGAAATGATCGGTTGCTTTATCAAACTGCCCAGTCAGGGTGATCTACCCCTGAAAGATGCGATTCTTTTATCAAAACAATTGGTAGTTTGAAATTGATCATATTGTCATGTGTATGGCCAGCTAAGATTTATTAATCAGGATACCAAAACTCCTATCATATCTTATAGCTGTGATGCTGAACACAGGCCGTTCTTATAGTGATGTGCACAGACTTACTAGACGATAGTGACATACAGAAAAAGCTTGTTGTGTTTCCAATGAATAATCATTTTTTAGTAATATACTGCAATGAAACATGTATGTCTGTGTACGTTTAAAACAATTCCATCAACTGGATACGTTTACCATAACGACTACAGAAAAAAAATAATAATATGTTTATGTCTTACCGGACTTTTCCTCTACAAAATGAAGCATTAAAATAAAAACAAGTACACAGAATTAGATTATGCTGCATTTGTGATAGACTTTAACTAAAACAAAATAATCATTTCTGAACGTATAATGGGATTTCTGTACTCACCATAAAATTCCCTTCTTGGAATACATTATTTAGACAAGCGGGTTATACTGCTGCCTACAGGAGGATTGGACACTGGAAGATAAAAACTTGAAGTGACACTAAACTTATGGGTTGAATGTTAAAAATACATTCAGGTATCTTAACTATTAACAACAATGTATCTTATTTGTGTATCACTCGGCTGTAGATCCTCCAATCATCTCTGGATTGGTGCGGACACTGTCATTCCTTCTGGAGGGGGGCTACTTTTGTTCCCCATGGTCCCTGTGTGTGTTGTAAAGTAGCCACCGCTCCAAGCTTGGATGGACTACAATCTCAATACAAATTAGTAAACCAAACATGAGATTGTAGTCCATCACAGGAGTGAGCTTGGAGCGGTGACTACTTTACAACACACACAGGGACCATGGGGAACAAAAGTAGCCCCCCTCCAGAAGGAAGGACAGTGTCGGCACCATTTCAGAGATGATTGGAGGATCTACAGCCGAGTGATACACAAATAAGATACAATTTTGTTAATAGTTAAAAGGTACTTGAATGCATTTTTAAGATTTAACTCCTGAGTTTAGTGTCACTTTAAGGCCAACGCTGAGATCTACCCACCTCCCACGACCAGCAAGCTTCAGTTTGTATTAAGAATAATGGCAGATAGGCGCAAGGGGGGTGGGACCGGCGTCCCTCAATGGTCGAAGAGGAAAGGATTTTACGACAAATACAAAAATGCCATATTCTTCATCAACAATGGGGGGACACGGGATTCTAAAGCAACTGGCATGTCCAAAAGCGGTCCAATAGAAGGGCAGCCAACACAGCCCAACCGGATTATTGGGAGTGGGATTTCACCCTACAATTTCCCGATTGGCCAATAACCAGCCACATACTGCATTTAGCTTCATAAATGTGTTTCATTTCTTTCCACCTCGGATTTTCATCGGTCTCCAGCAACACCTAGCAAGTCACAGTGTTGCCCCCCCTCCCATGACAACTCTGCATGGCCTGTGATGGACAGGATAAGGGTGAAGAGGAAACACGTTCACATAGATCCCCATTCAGCCTTTGCATAGGTCTGTTATTGGCGGTAGGCATTAATTCCGAGCAGAGAGAAGACAGCGTCAAGTGGCTGTCTACTGCTTTGCGAGCGCAATGAAAACTCTGCCGCGGACTCGAATAAAGGATTGCTGTAAAAGAAAAATAAGTGCACAAATCTATGTAATGAATGTGTGGGTGTTATTTTCACTCGTCTGCATTGATGGACGATTGTCAATTTTTGTTTATTGCGGCACTTCAAGAGAACTGTGGGCAATCCAGAGTCGCTATCAACAGTTTGCATCCAAAGCTGGCATCAGGACGCAAGTAAAGACTGAAGCATGCTGGTGGTGGGACTGGCTATACCCCATAGGACTGGCCTACAAGTTTTGTCTTCTAGTATCCAATCCTGGACAACCCAGTTGTCTAAGAATCCGGGGTCCTTAAATGGAGGGCTGAGAAATGTTTTGACACTTTTTGACATCTATTTTCCATTTATAGCACGTAGATCACTTTAACGCAAAACCCCAAACCAAGTATAGTGAATCTCACATGAAGATCTGCTTATCTTGTTGCAACACTATATTGCTGACAACATGGGGTCTCATGAAATTCTGGGAACGCTCAGGATAAGTGAAGAGCGTGGGCTTGGTGTGAACCCTATTCGTCTGAGTTCACCCAAGCCCACTTAAAACTGACTGCCGCCACCTCCCCCTGGGCAAATCAGTTGTGGAGAGGCGCATTCCCACCCCGCAACTATAAATCACAAAGAGGTGGGAACTGGGTTCACACCAAGCCCAAGTTTATCTCTACCACCAACATCATGGGGTCTTCTCATTAATTTCCAGGAAAGCTTTGGATCCCAAATCGCAAGAAACCACTCCAGAAACATTCAAGAGCTTATTCTAGAATATTGGCTCCTCAGCTTTCCCAGGATTCCATGAGAAGGCCCAATGATGTCACCCACGCCAAATGATTGGGCTGCTAGAGGGGGGAATGGCGGTCACAGCTTTGAGCGGGCTTGGGCGAACTGGGTTCATACCAAGCCCAAGTTTATCTCTACCACTGACATCATGGGGTCTCATCATGAGATTCTGGGACAGCTTTGGATCCCAAATCTCACGAGAAACCGATCCAGAAACATGCAAGAGCTTATTCTAGAATATGGGCTCCTCCGCTTTTCCAGGATTCCATGAGCAGGCCCAATGATGTCATTATCACTACTGATTAAGCTGGGAGAAGGGAATGGCGGTCACAGCTTGGAGCGGACTTGGGCAAACTCCAGTGAACTGGGTTCACACCAAGTCCAAGTTTACCTCTACCACTGACATCATGGGGTCTCATCATGAGATTCTGGGACAGCTTTGGATCCCAAATCTCACGAGAAACCGATCCAGAAACATGCAAGAGCTTATTCTAGAATATGGGCTCCTCCGCTTTTCCAGGATTCCATGAGAAGGCCCAATGATGTTATCTTCACCACTGATTGGGCTGGGAGGAGGGAATGGCGGTCACAGCGTGGAACGGGCTTGGGCAAACTCCAGATGACCTGGGTTCACACCAAGCCCAAGTTCATCTCTACCAGTGACATCATGGGGTCTCAAGAGAAGGTCTAATGAGGTCACCCTTGCCTAGGTGAACATGCCAGAAGCTGTGTAATCATTACACATTGTACATTTCTTTATATGTTTTATTTTGCATAACATGGTCATTTAGTGTTTTTACTTCAGGGGCTGCAAGGTTAACTTGAATCCATTAACAATGCTGCCAGTCCCAGAAGGCTTCTTATATGCACACACACAGGACCTTTTTGTAACACTCATCTACCTGTGTATGGGCCACAAAAATATCACTTTCTGAAATGACGCTGGGGTCAAAATGACCAGTTTAGAAGTAAACAGTGCTTAGTGAAGAGACCGACCTTGCACACCATTTTAACGACTTATGGTTAAAAATCTGAAAAACTTTGAATTGTTAAACACGTCGCTGAAAAAACATTTTCTAGTATCAATCAGATGATTCATTTGGAATTCATTGTTCAGGCCAATTCTAACCTGAAATGAAAAGACAGTGGGAGAATGAAAACTGGATCTGATTGGCTGCTATCAGGGATGAGTAACCTGTGGTACCGGTACTTCTGGTTGCAGAGAAGCATGTGACTTACTCCTGTCATGTGACACTACTGACGCTTGGTGGATTGTTGAGCGCAGTCGCCTTCAGTGCATTTTAAGCTCCAACTAGAGCAGCATGACAGTAATTCGCATTTTCAGTGGCTGGACTAAGCAGTGGGGAGCAAAGGAAAGGCGAATCTATATAGCAGGGAAGGGGAGGCATTAAAATGAACTTGCTGCATTGACAGAGCAAGGGGTCGTTGTAAAGACACATTGTCACCATGCCTTTTGTTACCTCAACCTCGTCTGTACTGCATTAGATGTCTGCTATTTTTTTGAAATATCTGCATTAAAAGCAATATAAATAATAGCCGGCCCAACTATAAACAGGCACATCCTTTGCTATGGGTCTCATGTTGCCCCAACACCGGCCTATATAGCATCCTCTACCTTCACCTAGTGCCCCTCCGCAAAGTACCAACTTTTCTGTAACCATAGCAGCCGCATGCATGAAGGTAGTTGCTATGGAAACACCTATAAGGGGGCACCTATTGTCAAAAGGGACGGCTGGGTCTGAATCACATCCCAGACTAAAGTGAAATGTTCTTTGGATCATCGGTTCTAGAACCTGCACATGTATCACATAGGACAGGGCTCAAAATGTCAAGTCCTGAGCTACTAGCCAGGCCTTAAAAGTTACTCGCCACCAGTTGCCCCACCTAACCCCTACCCTGCCCTGGCCTTAACTCTGCCAGGTCAGCGGTGTGACGCACAGTACAGAGGTCAGTGGTGCAATGACTAATACAGAGGTCAGCGGTGTGACGCACAGTACAGGGGACAGCGCTGTGATGCACAGTACAGGGGTCAGTGGTGTGACGCACAGGGGTACTGCGGTACAGAGATCCTCCATGTATCCTCTTTGCCCCCTGCTGCATAACGTTCTGGCCGGGTGTCTCACTGTCTCTGCAATCTCCCTCCCAGCCTATGGCAGCCGAGGTGGGCGGAGGAAGCTGCAGAAGACAGCGGAACTGAATGTCATCGAGGGGATGCGCTGCCGGCGGGACCAGAGATGGGACACAACTGCCGCGGCGATCGTTCGCTTCTGTTCTCTCTTCTCCTTCTCGGCCGCTCTGTAGCTGCAGCTTTAGAGGAGGAGAAGAGAGAACAGAAGTGTCCCATCTCCCGCCGGCGGCGCACCCCCTAGATGACATTCCACTTGCCCCCATGCAATATTCACTCGGCCAATTGCGAGGGGGTGAGTGGATCCCCCAGTAATAATGTACAGTGTGGTGTGTGTATATGGGGGGAGGGGGGAGAATATATATAATCTATAGGGGCCCCTGATCTGTAGAAGGTCCCCCCCCCAGTAATGATGCACAGTGTGGTGTCTGTATATGGGGGGGGATATATATAATCTATAGGGGCCCCTCACCTGTAGAAAGTCTACCTCCCTCGCAGCTTCTCCCCGCCTCCTCCTCAGTGCCCTGGCAGATATAATAGTCCCCTCAGACTCCGAGGATCTGTCCCCAGAACAGGACCCCAGACAACTTAGCATTCCGGCAGAGGAGCAGGAGGGATGCCCGTAGGGCAGTGCTCTGTTCCGGGCTCAGTCCCACACCAGAGCCGGACACCATACCCATCCCCAGCAGCAGCCCGTCCGCCTCCATTTCTCCGGGATGCCCATCTGTGCACTGTCTCTATGGCGACGCGTCTTGTCTCCAGGAAGTGAGGTCACAGCCACACGTCCCCTATCCAGGAAGTTACATACCTATCTCAGCAACACGGTCCTTAGAAAGACGCGTTCTACCCAATGCGGACCGCCTTTCTCGGTGATGTCACCATTCCTTGCTCGGGCAGTGTCACGGGGTCTGAAAGCACTGGCCCTGAGCTGTCAACGCCGATCGGCGCACCCCCTCGATTACATTCCACTCGAACCCACACAAAATTTTCACTCGCCAATTGCGAGGGGGCGAGTGGAAATTTTGAGGCCTGACATAGGAGACAAGGTTGACAAGGTTCTACCAGACAGAAGCTGAGGGGGAATCCAAAGCAGGGAGAGAACACATCTTACAGGGGCTCTAACCTTCCATTTATAACACTTTTGTTTTTCTGTGTTGATGTTGGAGAGTTCTCCTCACTTCCGGTCTGATAAATGTTGTCGAGAGGGAAAATCTTTCCAACAGACCCCTTTTGTGACAATAAAAACCTGACAGGTTCTGAATCCACCCGCACTCCATCCAAAATTTAATATTTGTCTGGACATACAATGTAATGTATTTAACATGCTGCAAGTACAAGTTCATTTATCTATGTTATATTCCACAAATCCCCTCCATGGAGGAGAGGTAAGATGTAGAAAGAGGAGAGAAAGCGAGAGAGAGCGCTCTGAGCCGATCATGTGCTGGCAAGCTAACATCGTTCCCATGTACCGGGATTGCTCCTGGAAGGGAAGGACACAGGGACACTGGGGAGGTGACCGACCATTACGGCTCATCCATAACAGAGAAAAGCAAGGTCACGGTCTCGCAGCCAGGAAGGGGTGCGCCAATCACACGAGTAGCTGGAAAGAATTACAAATACTTGCCAGGAAAGCGCAGCTCACAAATTTGTATTTGAGCCGTTTAGCTGGAGTTCAGCTTTAAATACCTCCTGGGTATCGGAAAGTACGGCTGCTGCACCCGTTAATAATGGAGTAAAGAGAGCCGGAGATGAAGATAAGGAGTTCACAGCTTCGGGCACTTCCAGAAATAGCAGCAGGATCCTGTGGCCGAGACTTAGATGATACGGTTCCATCTGGAATGTGACGTGCTACAGAGGAAGCTCAAAGACTGGCACTGACAGCGAAATGCTTGCATGGCACGAGCCGCCTGACAGCTGCACACACGGCTGCAACAAATCGCCGATGATACCGGCTGCAGGGACAGACATGCGTGTCACTGGTACGCAGCATTAATCAGAGAGGCAGTGACACAGCACTTCAGTGTCATGGGAGGAGAAACCATCTCTGTCAGCTTCTGTGGCAGAAGGGCAAAGCATTCCGAACCTTCATTCATCGTTGTATGCGATGCCCGTAGTAGCCGGAACCTTCCTTACCATTCACCCGCTGCAAAATGTGAGAATACAGAAACGGACTGTCACACATAACGAAGACTAACAACTTCCTTGCTGTAGGACTACCCTGCACTGCAAGGGTTAACTCATTTATGTCTAGGGCAGGGGTAGGTAACCTCAGCACTCCAGCTGTGGTAAAACTACAAATCCCATGATGCCTTTGGGAGTCATGCCAGTAGCTGTCAGTGTTTTGCAGTGCCTCATGGGACTTGTAGTTGCACAACAGTTGGAGCGCCAAGGTTGCCTACCCCTGGTCTAAGTGGCTGTGTAAAGCAATTTTACTTACCGCATTCCCGCTCCCCCTAGCAGTCGTTGCCCCTACACTTCAGCGCATGGCATGTCCCTTGGTGTCCTCATGCAGAATGCAGGACTATGGACTCTGTATTGTGTGTGATCAGGTCAGCGGGCCTCGACCACCGGAGCACAGAGGGGGAAGAGGCTGCAGGTGCTGGGTTTGGAGTCTTTAGGAGCAGGGATCAGGCAAGTAAATGTCCTTTACACCGGTCCCCTAGAGATAAATAAACTGTGAACTCTTGCAGTGCAGGGGTAGCTCCATTGCAAGGAAAGCTTTTTTTTTTTTTTGTCCTGGAGATAGGCTTTGAGAAGAACTCCGGGTAAATATTTGATTAACCCTTGCAGTGGGGCTACTACGAAGGTGAAAAATAAAAAAAAGTTATACTCACCCAATCTTCTGAGCCGACTTGTCTTCGACTAGTCCCTGGACTGCTGCAACAGTCTAAGGTCCCGGAGTCATCAAATTCTATACACAGTGTATAGGATGTGAGGATGCCCAGGCACATACCATTGCTGCAGCAAAGAAGGGGAGAGGCAGGAGGGAGCGGTCACAGCCGGCTGGCTCGGAGGATTGGGTGAGTGTAACTTAATTATTATATGTTATTTTAGATCCTAGGAAAAAATGAGCACTTAACCCTTGTAGTCTGGGGGAGCCCCACTGCAAGGGTTAATAAAATCTTTACCCAGAGTTGTTCTTTAAAAGGAGAACTATGGGGTTAGAGCTTTTCCCCATAGTTCTCCTAAGGGTAACGGGAGGACACAAACTAGCGTCCACCCCAAAAAGCACTCACCTCATAGTTCTCCTTTAAAGTCACACTTGAATCTCCATAGGGCATATGTCAGCATTACCAGACCACATTGCCAAGTATGCTGCTTTCTTTCCATGTATCACTGGCCCCTCCCTCTTAGATTGTAAGCCCTCAGGGACAGGACCCTCCTTACCATCTTGTCTTGACTTGTATTGTGATTGTAATGTCTTCCTTATATTGTAAAGCGCTGCGCAAACTGTTGGCACCGTATACATCCTGTATAATAATAATAATAATAATGAGCAAAATAAAATAATGTCCCCCAGCGTCATAGCCAGCCACGTGGCTACCATGAGCATCATGCAAGTTTCATGCCATTAGAGACTTCAGAGAGTGCACTGAGCAGGCCACATCTTGCACCATTGGCCCTATTTACCAACACCACCACCCACTGGAAACACTGAAAAATCCAAAAGTGACTATAGACATCATGATTGCTCGATGTGCTGCCTTACTGGTCCTAATGGCATCAGCTACCTTGCTTCTTAGTGTAACCAATGAACACCATTTATTCCACAAAATGGGAGAAAAAAAAAACCTTGCAAATAAATGGAACTGAAGGCATTTAAGATTAAGGGGGTGCCAGGGGGACCTGAACACAAACATGGATGCTCAGCTGATATAGTATGAGCATTTATGTTGCGGCTGCTCATTCGGAGTCAGATCACCAATT